TTGATGCACCCGGCTTGTGATGGTACTCTGGAATTCTCATCACACATAATAAAACCTTTCCCGATAAACTCATTGACTGACCAAATCCATAACAATGAAAAAAATCCATTAGGTATTCTGGTCTGAAAGCTTCTCTCAACAAGTTAGAATGGAAATAGGTATTTCAAGGACACAGGGTTTTTATAAATAGATTATAGAAAAGCTACTAATGCAATTACAAAAGGATTCCAGTGGCTGCTAGGTATCAAATACAAGCCCAAGGTTTAAATTTTTGTAGCATTCAACTGAGGATGAGGAAAATTATTATCATTTGTCCATGCTCTTAGCACCTGACAAGAAACATTTACTAAATAGTGATTTGCCACCTACAAAAGGTGGCCACCAGTTTTAGAAAGTGAGATTAAATCTATTATAAGAAGTCTGAAGAACAATGAAGCTCCTGGCAAGGGTTTTCTACCACATGAGCTATTTAAAACATATTCTGACTGGTATATATGAGCTATTTATATGATGCAGAACTGATTTGGGGATTCAGATATTAAACTTGTCTTGATATGTGTCCAATGGATACATTCATTTTTCTTGTTGCTGTATGAAGACAGACATTTTTATAGGTATATGTGTATATATATATGTATATATATGCATATGTATATGTATCACATATATGTACATATACATATGTAACATATATGTACATATACATGTATATGTATCACATATACATATATACGTATACGTATACGCATGTATGTATGTATGTATGTATGTATGTATATATCACATAGGCTTGCATGTGGTCTGCTGGGGAAAAAAAATCATTGGCTTTCTTTTTTTAAAAAAAGGATTAAAAACCTGAAATAAGGAACACTATTCTTATATAAATGGCAATGTGTATTCAAAATACATCTGGCAATGAATTCACCATATACCGGTACTTTGAATGAACTTCCCACCTACAATAGTGCATATCAGATTTAGCTAAAGTGCTAGGAAAAAGGCCTGATTTAAGCTTTTGTTTTGGGGTCTGGAACTATAACACTCAAATATTATTTTGTAATAACACAAACATTGCTTTAGTTTCTGCTTGTATACAAGATCGTTTTTTATATCCAGTTTGGTAGAAACTATCATTATTTCCTACTGTGGTTTTCTGCAGTGCTGTCTATATGGCCTGGTCAAAAAAGACAAGGCAACCACGATGACGCAATGAAAACTACCTGCTTTTTATGTTTTTCATGGTTGCCATCTTGGTTTTATTGATCAAACCCTAGTTCACTGAAGTTTATTGAAACAAGCCAGGATGAGGCAGAATTCAGTTAAACTAAATAGAATCCACAGTAATCAGTAGTTGAAAAATGCAGGCAAATGCCCATCATCTTCTGCTAGCAGGGGAGAAGTAATAGGATTGTGCAAGTTATACCAAATTATGATTTAGTGCTGCTCTAAATTAATGGTTTCATGCTTAATGTGTCAGAAATGAGCAGGAATAATCCTTTTGCTTATGCACTTCTCTATTCCTCTGGTAGGGCTGTGAAGAGTAGAAAGTGTTTGCTTTCATTTTAGAGTAAGTGTAATGTGTTTTGCGTTATGAAGATAACTATAATCTTGCAATAATTCAAAGAAGCAGCTCCTAATAGACAATTCAGGGGAAATTATGTCAATCAGTTGGGGCTTTCTTTGAAAGTTAGTTTTAGTGGCAACATGTTTAGAAGTGGTTTGCCATTGACTTTGTTCTAGGGCCAAGAGAGAGTAACTGGCACATATCATCCAGCTGCCAGTTGTTCATTTATTCAATTTGTATAGCCACCTAAAAATAAAAGGAGTTCCTGCGGATTTACTCCGCTAGTCATTGCTGGCTACAGGAGATGGCGTTCATCTCTATATAAAGGCCATTGAGCCAGCGCTGTCTAAAGACATTTCCACAGTTATGTGACCAGCAAGATGTCACAGAGCACTATTACCGTCTCATTGAAATGGTACCTATTTATCTACTTGCATTTGTATGCTTTCAAACTGCAGGAACTGGGGCAAGGTTAGTGGCACTCATGTCTCGGCAAGCCCAGCGTCTTAACCGCTGAGCCACCGCACCACCCATAGCCACCCACCCAGGCCAGGACTAAAACTCTGGTTTCCACATTCCTTCTCTAGAACCTTATCTATTAGGTCAGAGGTCCCCAATTTTTGGGCACCAGGCACCGGTTCCATGGAGAAAGGTTTTTCCATGGATCAGAGAGTGCATGGTTTTGTGTGCTGCCTGCATCCCATGGATGGGGCTTTGCTTGTTTGTGTGGACCGGTTGCTGGCATGCTGCGGACCGGGGGTTGGAAACCCCTGTATTAGATGAAATTGGCTTTTCATATACTGTAATATTAAATTCACTTGCAGATTTATTTAGAAGTTATTTGGTGGTAGTGGTGGTAGTGATAATAATAGTAGTGTGGGGAATGATGAAGTGTATTCTTCAATAGCTAGAATGAAGATGATAATATACAAATGCATGCCTATTATGATTTCCTGTAGGCAGTGCACGAAGATTAAAAAGTCTTTTTCCCCTTAGGCATACATAGATTTTATATAAAAAAAGAAAAAGAATGGAAAGAGGACAAGAAAAACAGATAAATTAAGTCATAAATTATTTATAAGCTAACCAAACCAAATGTTTTATAAGTTAGCTCTAGTAAGGATGTCTTTTTAGGCACTGTTTTGTATTACAGGCCTAAATTGTATATTAAAAATTTAAAGAACAATTAACCTATTCCAAAATGAAATCTGCACTATGCCAGGTATTCATTTGGTGGTTGTTACAGTAATATTATCCCTGTATTTCATTTTATTACAAAAGCAAGTGTAAAGAGGAAGGAGACGAATAAACCAAATCCAAACTTCTTTAGGATATAGTTATTTGCCTGAGAGGAAAAAAATAATGTACATAATAATAATAGTAATAATAAAAACAAAAAGATAATTGCACAAGGAGATACAGATAGACATCAAAAATTGAGCCAAGGCAAATACGCCAAATTTAAGAATTCTATACTGGTATTTTAGCATTTTCAACCTCAAGGCAGATTGAGTTTATTTTTATGGGTACAGCGATCGATTTTTAATAACAGAAGATGGTAAAAACATTTCACTTTCATATCGCAAATAGAAAATACAATTTTGTTTTGAATTTTATGATTAAATAGTGAAATGAATAAGCAATAAATTGCTTCAACTAATGAATAAGCCATCCATTGTAATCATAGCTTGAAAAGTGTATGCTTGTTTTTTTAAAAATAAAATTAAAAACGCAATGGAAAAATTAAGAGCCAGTGGCTAGGAGATTTAGATATTCTAAACTAGGAATCT